TTAAGGTAGCGTTTGGTTAGGTTGATGAATATTGAATTGTAATATTGTTGAGAATTGAGAAATCTTTTATTTTTATGTATTTTCTTGTTTTGTTCCTCTCTTCAAACTCAAGTTGGTTAGTTTCTATCCTCCTTGAGTTTGCGGGGGGCTGTTAGAATTTACCATAAACCTACCACCACTACCACCTCACCTACTCCACTAAACCTAACCCACTACACCACTACCACCTCCACTTCACCTACTCTCCACCTACTCCCAAACACACTCCTATATAATAGGAATCCTTGTAATTGTAATAAACACTACATCAAGACAATTCATCTATCAATAATACATAAATTACATAAATTATTACAGAAACTTTTGTCTAAGAACCAAACTATAGTACCATGCTTTCATTTAGAAACAGCTGCAGCGTTAAGTACATCCATGCACCATAGTAACACTACTCTCTCTGGAGTATTCCTGAATGGCAAAAGAAAGTTGAGAGTTTTAGGCTGCATTTGGTTCATGGATTTGAAAAGGGAAAGGGAAAAAATGTGTGAAATGTTGGTGAAATCACCTACTTTTTCCCTTTCCTCTTCCAAATCCTTCTCCAATCCATGAACCAAACAAAGCCTTAAGCAATTGGCCATGTTTGGGAAGAGAGGCTTTTTGCGAAAAAGCCACTACAAGTTGTCAACTCATCCTCTCTACTTTTGCACATCGTTTTGTAAAAAGCCAAAAAGCAACTAAAAAGGCTAATTCCCAAAGAAGCCTAATATTACAATTTCCCATATGTGAACAGGGAAAGACATGGTATTCACATTTCTTATAAAAACAGTAAAAAAATGCAATACGTCATATAGGCCTTCAAATAAAGAAGATATTGATTCAAGGCTGACTTCGAGAAAGCAGAACCGGCCCTAGGCTTAGGCCATTGAGGCCTATGCCTTAGGCCCCAAAAAAATGGGGCAAAATAGGGCCCCCAAATTTAGAAAAGTATTTTAGTATATTACAAATATAAATACGCCCAAATTATTTTTGTTGTTTTAGGGCCAACCTAAAGGACCCAAAAATATTATGTTGGGCCCATATTTGTTTATAAGTGTGGTTTGGTCCAATTGAAATTAAAATATATACAAAATAGTGGTAGCCCTTGAATGAGAAACACTCATACAGATACAAAATGTTAGTGGCCCAAAATAGGCACCCTAATTTTTTTTTACCTTCTTTCTTTATCAGATTTTAGTGGAATAAATAAATTTGCCCTATTTTTTTTACCATCTTTGTTTATCAAATTTTAGTAGAATAAACAATTAATTCAATCTCAATCACACTCATACACAACATATTCAATAAACAACAATGCAACCACACTCATAAACAACATATTCAATAAACAACAATTAATTCAATACATATCCAATACAATTTAATTGAATAAAGTTTTCCTCATTTTGGTAACTTTTTTTTTTGGTATGAATACATTTTGATATCTATTTTGGTATCAATTGGCGGTAGTGAGACCAAATAGGGTGATTTTTTTTTTCTTTGTGAATATAGGCCTCCATTTTTGTTTCGCCTTAGCCCCCAAAAACTCAGGGCCAGCACTGCGAGAAAGCCATGTGGAATGGGGATTTTTGGATTTTACCACAAAGAAGAAAGCATTTGGAGATAGGTGAAGGAAATGGACTCAAGGTTACCTTTTTTTGTGTCTAATCTTTGGGTGGTGGTTAAAGCAAAGATGGTACTTGTTTCAAAACTATGAACATATCACCTAGTAGATAAAAGTTTTTTGTAAAGAATGTTTTATTCAAGAAATACACGAGTAATACAGCAGTGGATAATACATACTTCGCACGAGTGATTAATTAAATGTGCAATGCTTCCGGCCCTTGTGGCATCAATGACACGCTCATCATCAATACGAAACATGTAAGTCCCAGCACCCTGAGAAAGAGGAGAGGGAGAAGGGGACAAAGAAATAGAGGAAAAAAGAAACCGTCAAGTACTTTTCCAGAGATGTTACTTCCCACTTTCAGCAATCCAGTATCTACTCATCAATTAACTGTGGCAACTAATCCCATGATTGAAATTAATGCTGTTCTTTATGACTTTCAACACAGGACTTACAACTACATAGATTATCAGATACCACATGCATGAGTATAGAGAGAATATATTGCATCATTCAGAGGAATTTGCAGGAACACTATACAAACATATTCAAGGCAAATTCGTTAGAGATAGCTCAAGAAATTAAATATATATGTCTTATGAAACAGAGTGCACAGAACCACAAGCAAATGATTCAACCATACAGCTCTTCTCCGGAAATTGTACATGTACATTAGTTGTATATCATTAGGTTGATGTTTGTGCATAAATATAAATACACAATAATGCAAGTATGAATGTGAAGAAGATATGAACATTCACACAAATCAGGTTGATACGGAATTTTTAAAATCATATCATCACAACAAATAACATGACCTCCTTCTCAAGAAGATAATACTGCAAATTAGAGAAGACAACCCAATCTGCTCGTGTGATAGAGTAGGGGATTCGAATGTTGAAGCAGTTTAACCAACAAGTTGATATGAACTTAATGTTCATCATTGCAATACTACTCCATTGATTATGTTTTATCAGAATGTAGCAACATCTCCAACCAAAAAAGAAAACACATCCAACCTATCTCAAGATGAACTTGCTTACTCTTTCTCTTCTTTATATTTGATTTTTTTTTTTTTTTTTTTTTGGGTCCATAAAATCAAAGGTATCTGATTTTGGTTAACTAATTTCCTTAATTTCCGGTAACCTCCTAATAGCTTGAGGAAGAGACTCTTGAAAGACTAGGTTAGAAATTTAAATGAAGGAAAAGTGCTCAGTACTCAGATACGAAAACAAGGGTTATTTCATGCCAAGCCTTAGCCTAGACCCCAACTGTACCTCTTAACAAATAATGACACCGTATTTCAATAATTGGCCGTGCAACTTTTTGGCCACCAACTTCGCATATGGGGGTGTCCAAAAACTTAGCATTTTGCAGTCAACTTAGATAACCAGTAAGCACCAATTTCCAAAAATTCCAATTAATTACTGCAAGTTTAGTTTTTGCTGCCTCCCACAAAAATGTATAATATGAAATCATTTAAGTGACAAACAACAATTTGAGTAAAGCGAACAATTTAGCTCTGTAGAAGCAATATATATTAAAGCAAATATACATGTACATATATGAACATGGCAAAAAATTCTCTGGTAGAAATAACAGACACTGAAAGCAATACAATCAAAATGAAGCAACCAAGGGCATAGATATCAAGTTGAAAAAATCCCCCTTACAATGCAAGAAGATCATACAAATGCTTCTCAGTCACTTGTTGCTTTCAACAAAAGACATCAATATAACACACTGAAATTAGATTTTTTAGGTAACTTTTTACATATAATAATTCTATCACTTATGGTCAAGGTTCTGAAAAGCGGTTGCAGTCGCCGTAACGGTGGCGGTGACGCGGTTGCGGTTGCGGGGTGTAAAGGCCGTAGTGTAACGGTTGTGGTAATCAGAACCGTGAATTTTTTTATTTTTCGCAACCAGGCTTGCTTAGCTTACAAAGCTAGCTTACTAACGCAAAGGTCTTTTTCGTTGATTGCACGAGCTAGCCAGCAAGCAAGGCTTTCTTAAATGGAACGAGAGCGCGGCCGGTCACCTCTAAGATCCTCCTACTAGCTTGAGGAAGAGACTCTTGAAAGACTAGGTTAGAAATTTAAATGAACGAAAAGTGCTCAGTACTCAGATACGAAAACAAGGGTTATTTCATGCCAAGCCTTAGCCTAGATCCCAACTGTACCTCTTAACAAATAATGACACCGTATTTCAATAATTGGCCATGCAACTTTTTGGCCACCAACTTCGCATATGGGGATGTCCAAAAACTTAGCATTTTGCAGTCAACTTAGATAACCAATAAGCACCATTTTCCAAAAATTCCAATGTCCAAACAGATCAAAATGATAATTACTGCAAGTTTAGTTTTTGCTGCCTCCCACAAAAATGTATAATATGAAATCATTTAAGTGACAAACAACAATTTGAGTAAAGCGAACAATTTAGCTCTGTAGAAGCAATATATATTAAAGCAAATATACATGTACATATATGAACATGGCAAAAAATCCTCTGGTAGAAATAACAGACACTGAAAGCAATACAATCAAAATGAAGCAACAAAGGGCATAGCTATCAAGTTGAAAAAATCCCCCCTACAATGCAAGAAGATCATACAAATGCTTCTCAGTCACATGTTGCTTTCAACAAACGACATCAGCATAACACACTGAAATTAGATTTTTTAGGTAACTTTTTACATATAATAATTCTATCACTTGTGGTAGAAAATGTCAGCCTTACAGCTGAAACTGATGCTCTGATGAATGCACACATAGTAATTAGCGCGCAGAACATATTTTATGTACTAACCACCATTGAATTGTATATCAAGTGTTCTCTTCGGTCAGCTACTGAGGGTCTAACAACTTCGCCTGTGTATTCAATCACCTACAAGGGCATGAAAAAAACACTAAACATTTCAAGTACTTCAAATTTTCAAGAAGTCATATGTTTAATCACAATCAAATCATTTACCATGTCTCCTGCTCTGTGTGGTTGTTTTGCAAAGATTCCAAATCCATGTATTCCAGATTTCCCTGGAGCCATTGACAATCCCAACAATCAGCTACAGAAATATGTCAATCAATCTTCTTCAATAACAAAAAGAGTAATATAAAAAATCATATATACGTAAATTTTGGTTATATGATAAATTTAAACGAAAACAAGATCTCATGTATATAATTCTTTTTTTATTATTATTAATTTATATGTTTACAGGGTAAAAAAGAAGCACCCCAGCCAAATCCATGTTAGCATTCCTGAAACCTTTATGAATGTATATAATGTATTGGAGGAGAAGTAAGACTACCAGAACCGAAGATGGTAAATATATCACAATATGAACTAAGCTAAAGAGATTAAATTAGTATTATCTATATAAACTCAATGAACAACAAATGAATGCTCCTCCCAATTTATGCTACAATAATTCTAGAATCAGCAGAAAATCATTGACTGTGGGGCCCAGATTCCATCAGGTTACTAAAAGATTTAACATAATCTCAGTAAATTAAAATACCAAATAGTTTTGAAAGAGCAAAACAGAAAGAATACGAAGAAATTCCAATATGACCAATTAATGCCATAAAGATATAAACAGAAAAGGAGAACCAAGATGTTTAAAAATAAAAATAAAAAGACAATAAAACAAAAGAATAGACCATTTCCTGGATGGAGGATCTACATGTCATCTATTAAGGAGCTTTTGAGCATTAGACATTTTAGACAATTTAATCAAGCCTTCTTAGGAAAATGGTTGTAGAGACTTACCTTGGTGGAGGGTTATCTTTCATAGAATGTGGTGAAGAGCATGGCATGGAGGATGGCAATTGGATATAGAGAGATTAAGGCCACATTTGTTTGACGGATTAAGTTGGATGCGATTATTAGTGAAGAGATTGTTAATGTGTGGATTGTTAGTTAGGAGATTAGGTGAAAGTGTGTTTGTTTTGATAATATAATGTTGAAGATAGTTAGTGATGAGATTGTTAAATTATTTTTTTTTAAATCTAAAAATAATAATTTCTATAGTAAAAAATATCTAAAACAAATATAAAATTTTCTTTTTACAGGTTGCAATTGCCCCCCCCCCCCAAAAAAAAAAAAAAAACTGTTCCGGTCAACCGACCAGATAGACCCAATCCACTCACTGTTTTCCTAATCCCACGCTTTTCCCAGCCAAGCTAATCCCCTTACTGAGGGGGATTAGTAAGCCGCTCACACTATCAAGCGGCTCTTCCAAATCATCACCAAACATACTATGGGTGCGACCCACAGCCATCCTACTCTGGTCGAGTTGCTTGCGCAGCCAGACAAACGAGGCCTAAGGGAGTTTTTAGTTATGATGTTAGATTCACGGATGGTGACGAGAGCATACTTAGATTTTTGGATGAAATATGTAGAGGGAATTTGCCTTAATCACTAGTTTTTTCAGATATAAATAACATTGCAGTAACCAAAAACACATTGGTCTCAGACTATATGAAAATAACAGGATTAGGGACAATTTGGAAATCTGCCTTCGCCCATGCTCTGCAGACTGACAATAGGAAGCTCTTAGTGAGTTACTTTGACCATTATATGTGACAGGTTTTTTGTAGAGTGAACAAGAAGATATGAAAAACTAATGAAAGAAGGTTCTTGATTAAATCCTAGCATTCTTTCTCAAAAGGTGAGGCAGCTAGTCCTCTTGAAGAGGCAGCTAGTCCTTCTCCTTTGAAGAGCATATGGAAGCTCAGCATTCCAACCAAGATGACATTCATTGTTGAACTGCTGCTTTGGATTTAATTCTAACCTTGGATAACTGAGGCAAAAGAGAAATATGCTTCCCAACTAGTGTTGCAAGTCTCGTGAGTGTAAAACTCAGTCAATCATGTTTTGCTTCATTGTGATTGTACGAGAATCGTGGAGCATTCTTTTCTCTGAGTTTATTATCTCTTGGGTCATATCAGACTCAGTTGTTTGTTTCTACAAGAGTTCAGGAGGTGGGCGCTATGTAAATAGGGTGAGAAAAACTTGGAACCTTTGTGTTTAACGTGGTGTATATGGAGTGGACCATAGTACTTTTATGCCAAGGTGACAGCAATGCATAGCCTAAAGCCAACATTCCTACTTTCCTTTCATTTTTCTCTAAAAGTGAGGTATGTGTCATCTTTCTTTTTTATTGATTTTATAGGGAAGTTCAATTTTTTATTTTTTCACAGTGATTATTTTCTGTATACATCTTGTATAAAACAGTTGCACTCCCTTTAGTGCCTTTAATGAAAATTCATAAATAAAAAAGCAAATACATGAATAGATGAATATTAATGAAAATTACTAGACAATTAATTAAAAAATAAAATTTAACCCTAAACTAACTCAAAAGTCATCAATCAGATAATAAACACATAATTGGGGACTTGAATCCAATAATTTTTTGACAGACATTCCTTGAAAAAACACTATTCAAGGTTAAAGTTCAATACTGTCCTTGGCAGAAGAAACTTGAATTCATAACAATGAAGCCACACCAACTGTGAAGTAACAACTTTCCAATTTTAAAAGGGGGATCAAAGGCCTAGAAATAGTTTGGCCTAAGCATGGTGATAAAATTCTTAGAAGTAGCTTCAAGGCCCCATTGCAAGGATCCATTTGTCTAATTGGCCAGCTGACTAATAGAAACAAACAACATTCTATTCCAAAAGCATTTAACATTAGTTTCCAAAATTATAAAGCCAAAAATAAAATTGTCCCAAGGAGAGGCAAATAATTTAAATCATGCAAAAAACAATCAAATAAATAAAACAAGATTAAAAAAATTACACCAACTTTGGTCCCCATTGGATGGGGGATCTGGGAGGGGTTGAATTGACATAGACCCAATATTTAGTATATATTGTGCACAGTAACTTCCAACAAGTTCGAAACCGAAACCTCAAAGTTAACAAGCCAAGTTTTAAGCACTAAACCAGTTGCCCCTATTAAATAAAATAAGATAAAAGAAAGAAATATGTATTGTTCATATGCCATTTTGTAATGACCGATTTAATGTAACTTTAGCTACACCTCCAATCACATAACACAAGAATGACAAAAGAATGCAACAAGCCTCCTTCTGTAAAGCATGTCAAAGGTGCAAACGTCTTTCAGCTAACACCACGCCATCCTAAGGTCTTTAATCATAAATGCACATTGAATGGTAATTCAAAAAAATAATATACTAGTGTTTTGCTGGCTGTGCTAGAAACAGGGAACAACATAAAATGGTATCCAAAGTAAAAACATTTAAACAAAAAAAAGTAAGTATGCTTACCAAATGCCAGTCTCTTTCTAAAGGTTTCCCTCATGTATTTGTATTTCTCAGCCATAGAAATTATGCTCTTGGGAGCATCAAGCTGATAGGTCTTTAGCTTTTGAAGGCCAAAGGAGAATTTAGAACCAGAAAGTGCAGCAGAAGATAGTGTATTCCGCAGGGCATCATGTTGGCAGCATCCACCAATCAAGTAAGGTCTATTCTCTACAAATAATCGCTTCAAGGATACAGCAGCAAGAGCTTCGGGTTCCTTCCTCCCTCTTCTCCCAAAATAATTATAAGGCTCTGCCCAAAGGGAAGAAAATATTACAATGGCTGTATATATGCCAACAGAACCAAACATGATATAGAACTTTAAAATTCAAAATAAACAGTAAAACAATAGAAAAAACAAGGTAGCATCAGAGAGAGAGAGAGAGACAAAGGAGTTTCCGTCTTGTGAAGTGATCAGGTCTAAGAGAATTATAATTATAACAATGAATATATGAAAACATACCACTGCGAGCACAACCAGATGGGTTTGATGGAGGACTGTAGTCTGAATATTGACGGGCAATTGGCACAATTTGATCATCAGCTGTTAAATGCCGGCTAGAAGGTGGCCTGTGCTTCTTGCAGTAGGAAAGCAGCCGAATGCACTGTTCATCATCATCATCATCATCCATAGAAATGAGATGTAGTCTGTCCTCATCTTCAAGCTATATAAATATACAACAATAAAAATGTGAATAACAGACATATAAATTACAATATCTGTGGGTGTACCCAAAATAAATGTCAAGCAAAACATGTCTACAATATTTTACATATATTTATTCGTATGCACATATGGAATCCAGAAAGGCACATAGAAGGAGAAGGTACCTCAACACAAAAACCAGCAGCACGTGCACAAAGTGGATGATATGCCACACGACAAGTATTGTTCGAACACTGTAATTGCAATTTTGCAGCAAGTTACTATAGCTAGACAATATATATGAAGAAATGCTCAAAGAGCTTATATCACAAAAGTAAGTCAATTCCCATTAAAGGAGAATATGAAGCAATCACCATCTAGTCATATAAGTACAGTATGGATGCTAGTTTATTAACTACACCTACTGAACTATTTTCCAACTACAAATTCCCTTTAGACGTACAAAGGTAACGAAGACTTGGCAGTACATAAAAAAATCATGCTCATTCTTGGGAATTAAAAATAAAAAATAAAGGTTGTGTTTGGTGCAGCTTTGTAATCATAATTCCACCCCTCCGTTGCATGCATTGTTTGGATGGAGTTTTGAAAATGTGATTCCACCACACATTTCAAAACATATTTCTCTTTTACGTTTGGCTACTTTCTCTCTTTTGTGTTCTCCATTCTGAAAAGCAGAAGATTTTTGAATTTTGAGTCTACCCGGTCATCCTCCCCGACGTCCGGCCAGTTGACCGGAACAATGTTTTTTTTTTTTTTTTGCAATTGCCAATAGCCACCTGTTATTTGGAAAAAAGTATATATATATTTGTTTTTGATATTTTTTAAATAAAAAAAAATATTTTTTTAAGACCAAAATGACAAAAAAAAAATTGAATTGAATTTTAAAAAGAGTTTGGTTATGAGTTTTAAATAGAATTTTCAATAGAGTTTTGAGTTGTGTGTTCGGTTATGAGTTATAAGTTTTTGAATTAAGTTTTGAAAACTCTTTTCAAAATTCATAACCATACAACTTTTCTCATTTTATATGTCACATCAAAAATTCAAAACTCATAACCAAACAAATTTTCTCTTTTTAAATCATAATTCCAAAACTCACAAACTCAAAATACAACTATATTCTTAAATCATAATTCTAAAACTCTACCAAACGCTACCAAAAAAGGCCTAGAGAAGAAAACTTTCCTAAAGAAGTCTCTGAAAAACAATATCCTCTATTTTGTTCAGGAATTGTCACCCAAATTGAACAGGCTGGAGAACAAGCCAGCCCCAAATTGTTAATATTGGCTATTTGTTAAGTTGTGCATAATACAGAAAGGGTATAGAATTACGTTTGGCCATCTGGTACCTTCTTGGGCCCAACAGATTGCTGTTAGAAAAATATTTCAACCACCAGTCAACACAAAAAGTCTTCGAAATGCAAAGAAGGCCCAAGGATGATGGAGCACACACCTGGACACTATTCTGATCAAACAACATGCTAACCTAGAATTTTCACAGAGCAACAAAAACAAGGAAGAGGGGAAACTTAAAAGAGAGATGCATGCCGGAGAAAGATGTGTGAAACAAACCCCAATTACGAGGATAAATCTCACACGGTAAAATCATAATTACAATAATAATGATATTTCATCTCATGCATCTATTTTTCCTTGCAACTCTTTTGAATTCAGCAAGCTTATGGCCACTTGGCAAGTAATTTTGTAACCAAGATCGGACCCAAGAAGTGGAGAATAGAAAAGTACACCATCATACAAAGATTAAGGATGAACAATAAACAATTAGAAATAACAACCACAGTGATTATACAATTACAAGCTTACCTGGATGCAAGCTCCATAAGACACACCACAGATGCTACACAAAAGCTTCCAACGGTCCTGTCAGAGAGAAACAAAAGCATTACAATAGGGGAAAAGGATGATCTAGCTCAACCTCAAACACTCTGAATATTTTGTGTTCTTTTGTTCTTTTTTAGTCCTTTTTGGACAGAAATGACATAGTTGTAACTCCTCATGTTCATATTGGAGATTACAAGTAATAATGAGGGTTATCTTTATCATCACAAGGAAACCATTATAAATCTAATTTTAAGAAAAAAGAACACTGGAAAAAGGTCATTGTAATCCAAAGTATAAACAAATAACAAAGGGAGATTACCTTATTGATTCTACTCAGCCCATCAATCGGCTCCATTTTCTTGATATCAGATAAGCATGTTTCTGAAACATACTAGGGAAGTCAACAAACAGATTATAAGATGCCATAGAGGAAAAATAATATGTTAACATACACTCAAAAACCTGGTATCCATATGGCACAAGCAAGATGAGCCCAGCGTCCATCTGTTGTAGGCTTCATAGCACCCCCTGGAAAAAAAATTAATTTCATATTTAATGATGTATAACCATTGATGCAACATAAAAAAAATAAATTAAGAACAAAAACATGCTGATAGGGCAAAAAAGGAAACAAACAAGAAAGAAAGAAACATTAATGACACTGAACTACCTATAACAGGACAAAGACAGCAACGTGGAGGAAACTTGGGAGCCCCCGGACAACATAAGTTACATAACCAAAGTACCCCATCAACAGGCTCTAATTCCCCGTAGCACTTAGCATGAACCTGAGAAAGCATAAATATCTGTAAAATTATGAAGTGGCCAAGAAAAGTATTAATGCATACAAACTTCTTCCAACCAGAATAGCAACATGATCTGAAACTCATACAACACACTGAGACTATGATGCATTGAAAATTGCTCCCTCCCACTTCACCAACATCGATATACTAATAATAGTTCATGTATAACGCTGACAAACATGTCAACACATACGCAATACGACACTGATGCATTAACGTGGCAAACTCTACAGAAGAGATAAACAAGCAAGGAGACACATTTTAATTGTGGACTACGATTAACTTTCTAAATTTATATAGTAACAATTACATGATGTGGAAGATAAAACTCAGCGAAAGCTCATATACATAATTAAACTACACATACTACGAATAGTATTACTATTATAATCTCCTCTTCACAACTTGTCTTTTCCCATATTTGAAAGCATGCATTGCATGTTTGACTTTGGAAAACATGTCTACATATTTAATTCTTATTCTTTTCCTTTTTAAATAAAGTGGGAACTCCAAGAGGGCAAGATATGGCTGCTATTAAGTACTGGCCACATGTCTAAGAAGCTATCACAGGAGTGTGGTTCAAGAGCCAAAAAAACATTTTTAAACACGTACTAGCATCTGAATTTGAAAATAATTTTCAGATGCAGATGATGATCATGTCACTAATATCCAAAACAATGTGTAATTTTGTATTTTTCATTTTAATAAAATCATAAACAAGTATGAAGATAAGAGTAAAACTTGATGGCCAAGTGCAGTATTTTGGATCAATTATTCATAAAGAGAGAGAGAACCAAACATGAGCATATTGAGGGTCTCACGCACACATGTAGATGCGACGAAATGGTGCGTCTCACACAATCCCATCATAAGGCCAACTAAACACGCACACATTGAGAGTGCTAAAAGAAAGAGGAAGAGGACATGCATTCAGGCAATAAGAAAATACATGATTGCCTTAGATAAGCCAACTAAAGGAGATATATCCATGTAGTCAACCTTATGTAATTGGGACAAAAGCTTGAGCTCAGATGAGTTTAATAGATCTTAAGCAATCACTGAAACTATAAAACCTCATAGTTAATGAACCACAACCAAAGGCACTCATCAACACGCTAACCAGAATCTTAGCATTGGGTTGACCAATATTGTCACAAACATTAATAAGAAAATATCAATTCCATTTATTAATAATTGACAATGCTGAAAATAAGTTTAATTATTAGAACCACTGCAATGACAGGATCCCATGGTACCAAAAGCTGCATTTGCAATTAGAAAACATCATCAGTGTCATGCAAAGAAAGGCCTCACCATCATTCTGCATTTATCACACTGCAGAAACAGATTATTTGTGTATTCCTGAAAACAAAGAATCTACATCAGCCGATGACCATTTAAAATGACAAAAACTTTATACACTAAGAATGACTAAGAAAAGGGAGAAAATTAGACCAGAAGAAAGGCACAATGATTTTCATTCAATGCATTTGTTGGAGGTAAAAGAAAATCTGGTTTTTCACCTCATCCATGTGACAAACATTGCACTTATCAAGGTCTTTCCATTTAACATGAACGGGTCTGCAACCAATAGGCAGATCTTGCAATCTTCGAGAAGTCAGCTTAGACAAAGAGGATTTTGAGTGAAGTTTCGAATTTGATAATTCCTGTCAATAAAAAGGATACTAGTTTTAGGCTCAAAGTTTCAGTAAGAAAGCAGAAATACACGTAAGAATTTCCAACTATAGAAATAGCACCCATTTATCTCCATTTATGTTCCAGATAAATGAACAAAACCAGGATTACAACCCAACAACCGCCAGTATAACGGTATTCACTAAAGACAGAAAACAGTAAAGAACAATGACATCAGTCTGTGTTTTAACTCTTTGCCTATGCATGAAATATACACGTAGGCATAGACATATATAAGAACAAACCATTATGGAGTGATGTATATACATCTGCAGATTAGATGTGACTACATATTCAGGTTATTCAGTTGTAAATCAGTTTAAACATGTTCGTCAATCAAATGTTGAGGCCATATTAGAATACTCTTTCTTTTTTATAACCAAACCAAACTAAGCCTTGTGTCCCAATCCAACTAACAAAATTTAGAATTGACTGTCAATAATTGAAATATAAAATTGGATTAAATTTCTGAAACAAAATTAATTATCAATCTAGGTCAGACATAACATTAGTCATGATCATATAGATTGGTGATTCCAGCCATCATTAGCCATTTTATCAATATAGCAACCGATAAGACATAAAACAAGCCTTGCTGCGGTAGAGCAGTGCTTCATTATAAGAAAAACTATATATAAACTTATTTTGTGATTATTGCACAGAATTGTTATATTGTACTAGTTAAGTTATTTTCACAATTATAAAAGAGTAGGCATCACAAAAAAAATGTCACAGAAAATAATGGACTGTATAATTGAGATATTCTTATTCAACTAAACTATAAAATTTTCTTCCTTTGACAGGCTAATAACTTTCGGGACACTGTTCTAAAGGCATTTGGACATGACCATGTATGTTATGATATTTCAAAAAAAACTAAGCATCAATATCGTATGTTATTATGCTCAAATCAGCTCCAAAAAAAAAAAGGAGGAAGGCACAGTCACTTTTCCTAATCATCCCAACTCTCCTACAATAGCAAACTCCACACCAACATTGTAGCATTCTTACTACACAAAACAAGATCTAGTAAACCCCAACTATGCTTAGTAGCAAACTCCATAGCTCCCATGCTACCTGACAATGAGGGAGAAGATGATAAACAGTTTCCTTCTCTGCCCTCTAAGTTTGATCTAAACATGGGCTAAAAGTTGGGATGTGGGGCTTTCCAATACTTCTCTGGCCATTTTTAAGGTTCATAAACACGGATAAGCGTGGAGTTGGTAGGAAATAAAGAATTTGTGAATTGTAAACAAATTAAATTTAAAATTATAGTTGTAAAACCATTTGCGTACAAATACAAAAGTAAAAAATCAAAAATTAAAAATCAAATAAACATAAAAATGTATAAAGAAAAAAAAATCTTAGAATGTACAGACTATATGGGCTTGTTTGGTTTGTTTTTGGGAGAGTTGTTTTTGAAAAAAATTTGGGAGAGTTGTTTTAGAAATTTTTTTGGTTTGTTTGGTTGTATATTTTGAGACAAATTTTTTTTTGGAAGTTTGGGATGATTTGATATTTTGGGAGAATTGAGTAGATGTGTGTGAGAGAAAAAGTGATTGAGAAGGAGAGAGAAAAAGTGATTGATTGATGTGTAAGAGAGAGAAAGTGATTTTAGAAAAAAATTTAGAAAAATCTCAAACCAAACAAATTTTTGAAATTTTTTTTCTAAAACTCATTTCCCAAACTCAAACCAAACAAGCCTTATATATCCTTTGTTGTGTCCCTGCATGGTTGTGACTTGTATTTCTTAAATTTAGATTAGTCAGTCTTTTATACTTTCGTATGATGTGTGGATGTAAAAATACAATTTTTGTTGTATCCTGAATTTCTTTTAAGAATGTCATGTCAGCTTGTCCATGTTGTATTGTATACATGTACTACGTCCCATGTTTGGGTCCTTTTTAAAAAATGGATGTAAAAACTATGCAAACAAAAAGGGGCAAACCAACTTTTTGTGGCATCTACGGGTTTTTTACAGCGTTAAAAAATATGCTCAACCACCAGCTTGAGGTTTAGATTAAATCAGAATAAACAGTGCGTAGCATAACTGTGAAAAGCTTGAAAATTGAAGGGTAGTGACAACAGAAGCTAACACAATTAGAACTGTGAAAAGCTTTAAAATATGTTCAAGCTTGAGTAAAGCTTAAACATAAGTTAAGACACCATTTAGAGAAATATATGCCAAATATGTATAATGTTTTCAAAATATTATGCAGACATGTACGTAATCACATACCTGTATAAGTTTCAAAACCTCAGGATTAGAAAAACCAAACATATCAGAACCAGAGTCAAAGATCCCCTCAAATCCCCCTTTGGCTATAAAACCATTAGAACTGTCTTGTCTCTTCCTTATCCTTTTGTGGATTTTATTCCAGCAAGCAGATGGAGTGGATCCTTTGAACTGCAAGAAGAAACTATTAAAACACAAAACTACATTCAATAAATGAAATGGCTCAAAACTGTCTTACATCAACTGAAATGGCTTATAAATAGTCAATAGATATATAATGGCCCCGTTTGGTGTAGCTGTTAAAACAGCTTATAGAGTATAGCTTAACAGATTATAGATTATGACTTTAATCAGAAGTTGTTAATCTATTTGGTGTACCTGTTGAATTATAGATTTAAGTTGCTGAGTAATGTTTGTTAAATAAGCTGTGAAATAGTTTTTTCAATTAATTTTTATTTTTTGTTTGTCTACATTTCTCATAAAAAATAATAATAATAACCTATAGTCCATTTGGATCTTTTTCTATTTTTGAAAAAATAAAAAATAAAAAAATTTAAGAGTAGAACCAAAAATTAACATGTCAACAGCAGAAACTGATAATCAGAAGCAAGGGGTGAGCAACTTCTCAAAATCAGCTTTTTTGAGTTAAAATAAGCTGTTAGAATCAGAGACTGTTTGAAATAAGTTTAACCAAACAGTTCAAAATAACTTTTTCAAAACTAAAAGCCATAAGTTAGCTCTGAAAAGTTGAAACAAACACCCCCAATAAAGTCAGTTGTACAATAATATTAAGATTTTAGTAAACACAATATTGATGAAGGGTTGACTCAAATTTATAATGCTCACACTTCAGAAGTTCTGCGCAATTGACTTCACAGAAACTAGAAGACTTGATGTATCATGCAGGAAGAAATGCTTTGCCACTTCATTCAGTGATTAAGAATCTTAGCAATCATTTATAATTTGTATATATCACACTGTTCTTCTATTGTTATCAAACTAAAATCCAAACTTCAAAAAATAAGACTAAGAAGCAGTGTGAAGTGAGCAAAATAAAGCTCCAAGAGAAGAATAGTTTATGATAGAGATTAGAGAGCAAAGAAACAAAAAATCATACCAAATGAACAAGAAAATCAAAGTAACCACACATTAATAGTTTTAGCCTCACATCATCAGGTTACATCATACCTGCTCTCCATTATCCAATGTAACTCTAAATACAGGCCTGGTCCTTGAGTCAACATCTCTCAGGACTTCCATCTTATACAAGGCACAAACACTTGGATCTGAGGCCTCAAAGCAAAAGTGAATAGAAATGAAATGTTATGAGAACACTTAGAATGACCAAACTAGGTTGAGTGAAAGATATGTCAGAGCTGCAATACAAGAAACTTGAGAGAATTCTTCAAGAAATGGTCCACCTGTTACAGAAGGAAACTTCCTCACAGCAGTATATCCTTCAGGCCAGATAAATCTCTCATCCTGAAAATACTCCGAGTCCTTAACAATCTTTCCTGTATGACATTTGTATGCACATGAGTTGAAGGAATGAGTAGTCCTCGAACTCAATCAGTTAAATAAGAAGCAATGCTATAATTTCCTATATGAATTTGAACAATTATTAGTGAAATTGCATGATCCACAAACATGTAATTTTTCCTTGTTGATGCCTTCAAATAAATCAAGTATGAAAAAACAAATGAAGTTGTCATGCCCTAGAATAGTTAAGTGAACAGTAACATTGAACTCTCATCAATGACAACCTCATCATCACGGGGTTGCAATGCATGTTCAACCACAAATAAATATAATGCATGTTCAACCACACATAAATACAATGCATTAGATTTTAAGGAAGGCAGAAGCAGCTTAATACTACATAGAATTACCAAGACTTATCACTTGCAAATCCCCTATCTCAAACGAGCAAGCTTCAAGGCCCTCTAGCTTTCTATGTATCCCTTCATCTTCTATGCGATCTTCACCTGAATCAGCACTATCTTCATCTTCTTGACTTGCACTGTCGCAATCATCAGACTCAATGCCATTTTGCATACTTAGCATTCTTTTTGGAAGCTTCTGTTCACTGAGATACCTGATAAAAAGAAGGATATGTATTCTTCTTTATTATGGGAAAGTTTAAGTTGGGAAAAAAAAAAGAACAACGGAAATAAACCGGTGACAATAATCTTATCAAATGGCATCCTTCTCCTTTTCCTTACTTTCAAATTAAGTAATATATATACACACACCAGGTTACATGGCTCCTTCTAAATTTGTGAAGTTCCTTTGTCCCCATACTCAACGTTTGGGCTAGGGTATGGGATATGTATTCAGTTTCCTTAGATGGGCATGCACCCAACAAATATGTATAAATAGTAGAGTTTACTATGAAACTATGCATAAGACTTTCACTCTATGCAAAAAATGCTTATGTTAATTGGTGAACACCTTTTTACCCTAAATAAATGAAAGAATTATTCAAGAAATAGAAAATTTAACCGTGTCCCGATGTCCTTGAGCATGAAAATTAGACAAATCCGACGCTTAGACACATAGCCGCATCCGACCCCATATCCTAGTCCATGGAACATAGTGTGTATATATAATAATGTTATGTTTAGTTGGCCTTAGTAACCCAGCCCTAGCAGTTGAACCAAGTGACCTGGCCCATAAGTAGGTTGAAATCCATTCCATTTTTTATAATTATGATGATTGTAACCATAAAGAACGAGCTAATGTTACAAATAGAAACATCAGAGTGCTTCATAGCAGAACTCCAAGGCAAACCCACATTAAGGTGTGGAAGTGATACCAAAACAGGGACATGGACTGGAAATCAACAATAAAGAATAGGTCTGGTTATATGATGCACTACAAATAGCTTAAATATTAGACACAGCAAACTGGGTAGACTGGGCATCACATGGGTAGACTGGGAGGAATAATCAAATTACTTACACTTACTACCCCGTGTCTATATACTTTTGTATTGTTTAAAGCTTTGGTCACATAGGATCCGCCTAATACGGAATAAACACATAAAAGATGCCCTAAGTTGAAGAAATAAAGGCATGATTTTATGATAGCCACGTTGGTGATAAGGAATATACATATATATATATATGCTAGTGAGTTTAATACAAAAAGATGGCTAAACATGCCAATGTAATGCAAAATAATAAAGAGATACATTTGTACTAAAAACAGAAAAAGGGAAGAAAGAGGGATAATAACAAGTTAACCGTGAACATCATTTTCTCATATAACTAAAAAGTGTGAAATGAACTCTCAGAAGATAAGCTCACATTTTTGCTTCTTCCAAGCTTTGTACAAAATTTGGTTTCTTGCACTTCAGATGGAAAGAAGAGAGAAGTCCTCTAAGAAATGAGTTAACTTGTTTCGTATTAACCCTGGACAATCACAGAAAATGATAATGCTGTAAACTTAACGGAGAGAGATGCATTTAAGTCTATATTTTACTTCAGAATAAATACAAAAAAACTAATGTAGAAACAAAAAATAACCTTCAAAATTACCTTGCAAAGTCATGGGTACCAAAAAATTGCACTGGAAATGATTTCCCTCCTGAATTTCTGTTTAAACCTCTACGATTTCCAAGAAGAGATTCATCCACAACAATTGCAGGCCACATAGCATGACCTGAATCAAACCAATTGAAATAAAGTGTTGTTCAGTAAACAAACAGTTAACTGATGGGAACAACGTATTAGTAGTGAAATTTATTGAGGCATGTCAACCAGACCATTCAGAAAAATCCTTGTGACAAGTAGGTTAAACAACATTAACAAATGGATCTTACAGTTCACCTATAATTTAATTAATTCAGATGCATAAGCAATTGCAGTTTCACATGCAAAATATACCTACAAGGGATCTTTTAGGGATCTCGAATTAATTCATATAAGCATCTCGAGGGTCAATAATTAAGAGCAGCAAATCATAAATTTAGGGCATATAATTGAATGTGTGATGTTAAAAAGTTCTCCAAAGCTGAAGTCTTGGAATGATTTATACATAAAGCCAACATATGTTCTGTAATTATGTGTGAATTCAAGCATAAAGTCTCTCACCAGTAATTTTGGCCCATACGATATCCCCAGGTCCAAGCTCGTGGCAGTCATTAAAACTAGCAGCCAACATAACCATCTCATTGAAATCAATATCTCTATCTGATGTTTTAATGTTGCAACTCAGATTTAACTGCTCCAACTCATCATGAGAAACATAAAACTTGACTGTCTCATTTGAAAGAATAATATTTTCTTTGTCACCATCCTCGTATAACACCTGCATTACATTCATTGAATTACCAATTTTTTCCCACAAATCTCACATCCATCATCAAAAACTATATAGACATGTACTCAGTGCACGGACGCATATATTGGTTCATTTGATTGCTAATTCGTAGAATAGTCATACATGATGCTTATCAGTCTCCGCGTCATATCCAACCACTCGACCCATATACCAGTCATTATCCAGAGGCCAGTAAATCTGTTGCATCAAACTGAACTTCAGGACCAATGTAGGCATACATTTATACAGTTTAATAAAAGGAATCCCCTAATTTACCCACAATTACATAGCAAGTTACTGTCAAATTTTGATTTGTGACAAACTCAATCATGTAAGACCCAATTCACTTGTCATGTCATTGTTAATGAATTGTGGGTATCTACTATTTTCTCTTATTGTGTGTTTGATTGGAGAATTTGAGGAGAGATTTTAAAAAGAAAATGAAAAAAATAGGTGAAATATGAATAAAATATACATAAATTTCACCAAATTTCACACAAATTTTCCTTTTCCCTTTGCCTTTACAAATAACTACCCAAATCTCCCAACCAAACACAACATAAATAAAATGTGTATAGTATTATAAAAGATGGGTAAGTGATGAAAGAGCCAAAGAAGTGCTTGCCTTGCATTGTAATCCAATGAATTTCTTTGAATCAACACCATCAGAACTCAACCTGTATCGTTCAATTCACAATTAACATTTACTCAAATTTCCTTTAAATTCCATAATTAAAAAAGCACAATTTTGAAACAAGAAAAAAAAAATGAGAAACATACCCAACCCATCTCTTAGCAGCAGAATTAACCACTTGGGTCTCATCAAAATTCTGGGAATTCTCCAAAGTAGCGCCCTTTCGTCTCCGTCTAACATTACTATAGTTCAAATTCCGGGATTCTCTCAACCGAGGCACATCATCGAGCTGTCGCAACACGCTCGAATCAACACCCAAGCTAACAAGCTCACTCCTACCAAACCTCCTCCCTTTCGTCTTCTGCTTTTTCTTCTGCACCAATCTCTCGACACCATCATCCTCCTCCTCCTCCACTCTTTCTTCTTCTCTCACATCTACTTTCAATGCTGCCAATGACAACCCATTGGACTGACAATGCCGAATCCTCTTGGGATGGCGGCGAGAGTAGACGTGGATTATCGGCGGCTGGAGGAGGAGAGAGAGAAAGTAAGAAGGGTGGTGGTGGTGGTGGTGGTGGTGGTGGTGGATGAGCTTTCGGGCTTTTACCTTTTTGGACATGATGGTGTTGGATGTGGAGGAGTACAAGTCGCAGAGAGGAGCGTAGCGAATCGGAGAGTCGGTCTTCTCAATCTCGTCCTCTTGGTGTAGTGGTTCTACTACTTCAATTTCGACATCTGATTTGGCAGTGAACGCCATGGAATGAGGGGTTTGAGTGAATTTGGGGGAAAGAGAAGGTATTTGATGAGCTATCTATCACTCTTCCATCGTTTTGTGTTTTTTTTTTTTTTAGGGTTTTTGAGAAGAAATTGGGTGGGGTGAAAAGGTTGATCTCTAGTTTTTTTGGAGGGAGGTTGATTCCCCAAATGTTACGTTTCCCGCCGTGTGCAAAGTGCGACCAATATAGACCTAAACTCAAGGTTCCATCAAAATACACTCATGCCTATTTTGGCAACCGCAGGCCTTTGCTACCAAAATATAAAAAAAAAATTAATAATAAAAACAATTCAATTTTCAAAATAATCTTTAGAGGGTATTTGGACTTTACATATTTGATTTTTTTTTTTTTATAAATCTTCTTTTTAAATGTTTTATTTCATTTAATCCATGTTTTTTTTAGTATTTTATTAAATCTTGTTATGTAATATGGTCAAATCATTATTTCTAACTTTTTACTCATATTTCTATTTTATAACTAATACATAACAATAGTCCATCACTTTATGAACAAAAATCTCTCTCTCATTTCTAAAGAGAAAATCTCTTCATTATTCTAAGAATAAAATCTTTCTCGCATTCTATGGAAAAAATCTCAAATTATGAATTTTGAACTAATCTTACAAAACCTAAATTTATAAAAATGTGAACATTCACATGGGAACATGAAATAAATTTGGAAGAAAAAAAAAATTATTTCAATTGTTTAATAGTAACAAAAGATGATTATTCAAACAACAAGTATAATAACAAATAACCAATAATATGTGAACATTCAAATCTTACAAAATATATAATTATGTCTAAATCTATATTCTTTTTATAAATCTTCTTTTTAAATGTTTTATTTCATTTAATCCATGCTTTTTTTAGTATTTAATTAAATCTTGTTATGTAATATGGTCAAATCATCATTCTTAACTTTTTACTCATGTTTCTATTTTGTAACTAATACATAATAATAGTCCATCACTTTATGAAGGAAAATCTCTCTCTCATTTCTAAAGAGAAAATCTCTTCATTATTCTAAGAATAAAATCTTTCTCGCATTCTATGGAAAAAATCTCAAATTATGAATTTTGAACATTTTTAAAATTTTAAAAATAACGCAACAAAAAATCTGAATGAAAATTAAAATACAATGTGAATGTTCACAATAAACAACAAACATACAACTAATTTTTGAAAAAACAAAACGCATACTAAAATACAATGTGAATATTTACAATAAACGACAAACATACTACTAACATTCAAAATAGTAAAATTCATATCAAAATACAATGTAAATGTTCACAATTTATAATTAACATACAGCTAGTCTTAAAAAAAAAAACTCATACTAATGTAAACATTTACACTGCACCGTTAAAACATAAAACAAAATTGAAAAAAAAAATGAAAAATGACTATTTCAATTGCTCAACGGTAACAAAAATGACTGTTCAACTAACAAACATAGTAACAAAAACAACACACATGCAATTAACTTTCAAAAAAATAAAATTTATACCAAAATACAATGTGAATTTTCACAATTTACAATTAATATACATCTAGTTTTAAAATGAAAAATAAAAAAACTCATACTAGCGTAGCATTCACACTGCAACGTAAAAATATAAAATAAAATTGAAAAAAATGAAAATCGACTATTTTGATTATTCAATGATAATAAAAATGATTATTTAACCAACAAGCATAGTAAAAAAAAAAAACAAGATACGACTCACTCACTTTGCTTGGTTTCAGTTTTCAAAATTCACTTTTCAGAAAATTCTACTTTTCCCTTTTTCATATTTTTTTGTTTTTACTAAATTTTGTTTAATATTTTCAAATTTAAAATATTATTCAACCAATAAAAATGATATGTATAAAATCAAATTTAAAACTTATTATTTTCAAATTGTATATTTAAATTTTTATGTTGTGACGATGATGTTGATGATACAGTGGTTGTGGCAGTGGTGATAAAAGTGGCATGGTGGTGGTGGTCGTAGCGGTGACGATGATAGTGATAATAAAATGACAACGACGCTTATGACAATAATGATAGTAGTGACAAGAGTAGCAGTAGTGGTGGTAGCGGTAGCAATAGCAATGATCGTCATTATAATGGCATGATATTGGTGGTTGCAGTGGTGATAAGAGTAATGGTGGTGGTAGCAGTAGCAATAACGATGATAGTTGTAATGATGCCGTGATGGTGGCGGTTGTAGTGGTGGTCATAGTGGCAGTGGCTGGTGGCGTGGTGGTGGACAGATAGCAGTAGCAATAGTGGTAGTGGTAGTGGTGGTGGTGGTGGTAGTGGTAAGTTTATAATAGTGTATATCGATACTTATGTTTAATATTTATAAATCCAATTATAATTAAGTAAGTTTCAAATGATTTTTTTTTATTTTTTAATTTTAACCTATATTTTAAGAGATATTTAAATTTTTAAATGATATAAAATGAGCTTAATTGATTGTTAGTTAATACATTCAGGTTTAAGAGTTTTTCCAACCCACTAAGCATGTAATGGTTGTTGCTCAAAATGCCTAATATAACTCATTATTTTCAATTTCAATGCACTAGGCATATAATTAGATATTTTCTACTCAATTCACATTTACTAGCTACACGCAATCAGCATTCTATAAAATTAACAGTATTTGGATAAATTTTTTAAAATTAAAAAAATGACTAGAGTAGAAACATAAAAAAAAAATGGTAGATAAAATAAAATGAATACTTAATAATAATATTTAAATAAATAAAATGCCTACTGATATTTGAGATCGTCCAAGTGCTCAATCAAATTGTCAAACACCCCAACCCAAGTCACCAACTCATTTGATTTATACATATCTCAAACTACTTTATGATCTAATTTCAATCATAAATATATAATAATCAATAAATCTGGTCCAACTTTCTATTGCCATATTTTCTTTTCTTTTTGTGGTTTTTCACAAGTATCCGAACCTGCTTAATGCGCACTTTAACTAATCTCTACTCGCAATGAGAGCTTGTTAGGACTCGAATTGGAAAACAAACTTAGTCAAGCCCCATAATATTACCAAACGGTGAACAAGCTACTAAGGCCTCGTTTGGAAACAGGCTAATTTAGTAATTTTTTGGCTATTTGGCTAAAAAGGTAGGTAAAAAAAACTTTTATGTTTTGAATGACTTTTTGGCTAATTACGAAAAGATGTACAAAAAGTAGAGAGAAAAGAGAATCTTTGAATTTTTGGTATGAGTTGTTGATTTTTTTGCTAATTTATTAATTTTTTGACTAATTAGTTAAAAAAATAAGTCCCAAAACGAGGCCTAAGTCACAAGCTCATTGATAACTTTCTATTACCATCTGCATACTTGAGCATGAATACTTTGTAAACCTGTACAACTATAAATTGAACTAATTATATTTGAAAACATTATAACAATCACAACAATAACAATAATTATATTTATAACATTCAAGATCAAAATTTATATCTCAATTAAAAGGTCAAATTGAGAAAAATAAGTACCAAAATTATCGAATTGAGCCAGCAGGATTATAATTTCAATAATCTACGTGACTTTACTAATAAATTAAAGTAGTTCATTATCATCAAATAACTTTGCTCAAAAGCTTAGGTAGATAATGGTATGATGCATCCATTACGCTGCTCGTCATATTTTTTAAATATTTTATTTTAAATTTATTAAATTAAATGTATAATGACAATCATATATATATATATACATATCAATAAGATAGTCTTAACAATAAAATCTGATAATAAAAAAGATGGTACTTTGTCTAATAAGGAAATTTGGTACACACAAAATATATATATACATGTAATTAACAAAAAATAACTATGTTGAGTTTAAAATAAAATTTGTATTTTATAAATAAAATTATATAAATATATGTTTGAATTTATATATAACTTAAAAAAAATCCTCAAAAATTTATGAAACAAAGTCTCAAAATTCCATTCACAAAGTCTTATTTAACATAAGTATTTAGGCCTCGCTTGGGAACCACCCCATTTAGCTAAAAAGTTACTAAAAATGTCAAAAAACCAACAATTCATACAAAAAGTCAAAGATTATCTTTTCTATTTACTTTTTGCACATTTTTTTGTAAAAAGCTAAAAAGTCATCCTAAACATACTAGTTTTTTTTAGCTCATATTTTAGTCAAATAGCTAAAAAATTACTAAATTAGCCTGTTCCCAAACGAGGCCTTAATTGTGCATCACGTATTAAACAAAAATATACAACAAAAACAAGACTATTCATGACAGAAAATAATCGACTCACAATATAAAATAAACACCAATGATAGTAAAGCATTCACAAAAATAAATAAAATTATCAACCGAATATGGAAAATGGTAAATGGGAAATAAGTATAAAATAATCACAATATTCAACTAGTGGCAATAAGACAACCATCACCTTAAAAACTAATTAATTACAATACAACATCAAATTTGGCTTTAATGATTGACAAATAACTTTAAAAGGAATTCGTATACTATTTTAATAACATGCATCTACCGGTAATAAATAAATAAATAACAGTAAGTACATGATTAAATTGTTTCAAACTGTTTTAAAAAAAGTGGACCTACAAATCAATACAGTAGATTCAAATTGATTTGGTTTCAATATTGAGAGGGAAATTTATGATCTAGTTTCTGCCAAACAAAATTGGGCCGAGGTATTTGGCTTCAAGATTGTGCCGTGGTTTTGCTCAGTAATGGCAAAGGGCCTGCGGAGCCGAGCTACTTGGGCTCTTTGGTATGAAGGCCGGTCAAGTGAGAGCTCGGCTGAGATGTCCGCGGCCTAGAAGGGCTTCACGGTTCGTGCGTTGCTCGGTCGGAAGGCGCGCACCCATAGCTCGGCATGAAGATTCGTGCCTAAAGCTCGGCAGGAAGGCTTTTGGTTGACCGGAATGACCAATCCCGTGCTCGGCGTCGCCGGAATGCGGTCGAGCACGGCTGAAACGAAGCTCGGTTATTGGAAGCACTTGGTCTTGAAGTGCAGTATGGCTGTTAGCAGCCGAGAAGCTGCAGCCCGGCTGCCGAGCTCCCAGTAGAGTGGGCTGGCAGTTGGGTTAGGTGGTGTTCAGCAAGATTTGTGCTGACAGATAGGATAACAGAGCCACGTGTCGAGAGACCAATAGGAGTAGATTTGGGGCGCAGAAGGATATATGAGCATG